TATATATATATATAGACCGGTTGGTCGTTTCTTTTTAGTTTTTGTTTTTTTTTTTTTTCTTTTTTCATTTTTCATTTCTCCTTTCCCCCATCCCCGCCCCCAAAAAAAAGATATAGAAGTTCATTGCTCATTGCTCATCACAACTGACGTCGAGACATGTACGAATGGGCCTTATCCTCCTTGTCTGCTTGTCTTCTACCGGTACCTACTACCTACTGTATGAGGGAAGGGATCCCTGGGACCCTTGGCTGGGCTCGGAAAGATAGAATTAGACTGACTACCGACTACCGACTACCGACTACCTGTACTAGGTACTCGTTTGCTTGCATCATACGTAATACCACAAACGCATCCGGAACTTGGAGTAGGTATACTTAGAATGCTACACCAGATGCATCAATCGTCCCCTTGAGCTATACCAAGAGCTCAAAGGATTTACTAATGCGACGTCGACGTCGTGGCAGAGCTGCTTCGCCCGTACCCTATCAACACATCATTCCGCATTACTCATCCGTTCGGGATAATATTATAATAATAGTCGTACCCGTGACGAAGACGGGGTGGTGTTGACTCTGAAGCTCTGGAAATGAGGTGGCCGAGATTGGAATCTTGTACGATGCAAAGCGGTGAGGTTCATCCATACTTTACGGACTACTTGATCTGCAATGATGCATAAACCCGTGATAGGGGCGCCAGGGATAAAAAATGGAATTGGGATCATCCGTACAACATGGTAGTGGTTGTACAGAGTACAGAGTGCAGAGTGCAGCGTGCAGAGTGCAGAGTGCAGAGTGCAGAGTACTGAATACTGAGTACAAGCATATTACGTCGCTGGCGGTGGAAGGATTATCCCAGCTGAAAGGAATGTCCAAGCTGGTAGTAGTACTGGTACAACTATAATAAAGGAACGTCACAGGTGCCCTTTGAAACAGAATGACACTGACCACCTCAGTGTTCGAACGGACCTCCGTAGCCAAGCTTCTGAAGAAGCTATAATCTCAGCCTCGTCTCTTTCATTCAAAGACCATCACCATCAGTCGGTGTCCTCACCATCGACACCATCTTCTCCGAATAGATTCTCCGCCGAGAGGGGTTTCCACGAAATGTCTGGCTCAGCATCACCAGATAAGATGGAGGGCATCAACATAGGCAGCAACCCAACGCCTCCACCCCTCCCACCAGACGAACCAAAGTATGGGGGCTTTACGAGGTTCGAGATCGAGCTTGAGGTACACACACAATCCACTCTCCGATGTGCTCTGCCGCTGCAGATTATCTAGCAGGCAGATTCTCACTGCTTGGGGCTTCGGATCCCTTCCGATCCAACAGCCCTCCCACGACTCCTTTCTTTCTCATCACAATGGATTTTCAGCTGATGGCCCTCCAGTTCATTCAATCCCTCGCTTCTCCTCTCTACCTCAACCACCTAGCTTCGCAGAAATACCTCGAGAATCCAGACTTCATCGCCTACCTCAGCTATCTACAATATTGGGCCAACCCTCCCTACAGCAAGTACATCAACTATCCCGGCCCTACGCTGAAGAACCTAGAGCTGTTGCAGCAAGAGCAGTTCCGGAAGGATATCTTGAGCCCAGAAACGGTGGCTAGACTGTTTGAAGAGGGGGCCAGAAGTGCACTCGCGAGACCTGGGAATTAGAAAGGCGCATGGAGATCGGGTGGGGATGGAACATAATGATACCCAGATACGAGGCGTTTAGGTTAGATACTCCTGCTGTCCTGCCGAGGGGATATCCGGACTTCGTATGGGAATCTGATTTTGCATTTCGAAGCCGACTAGAGAGACCTGTGCAACAGCCAGGAGCAGACATATTTATCTGCAACCCAACGTGATTTTCACACCTTCCGTACGCCTTGCTGAATCGCATGCAAATAAAGCACAAAGCACTCCCAGCCAGACCAACATTCCATTTCTCCTCCCCTCATCAATTCCCACAGCTCAACCCTCTCTCCATCGGTTTCCGCAAGACATACACTGTACCCAATCAGCTCTGAATTACCTCACCACCAGCAACAAGAGCTCACATTATAAAACCCGGTCATGGGCTCATCTGCACTTCGAATCTGCATCTGGAAGAAGGCCGCCTCATCGCCATTGCATCCGTTCTTGGGACACTGGATCTTCGTCTTATCGGCATTTTTCCAAGAATCTGGGCCTCCAAACACATCATCCCGTTCCTGGCGCACAAAGGTCTTGCGCTCAAAGTAACGCCTCTCGAGTAGGTATTGGTAGGGGCAGGTCTGGCACTCAAGGCGGTTGATTTCGCCGTTCGTGGGGTCGTTTGGGTTAACAGTCTTGGACACTGTGAGAAGGTTGCTGCAGGAAGGGCAGACTTGGTATTTGCGGCGCAGTTAGATGATGCAATGTACTAGTACTAGAGATTATGAGCGGGGGGGGTAGAAGAGTACCTACAGAGCAACATCTTGAATATGCGCAGGCTCGGACTTCATGGGCGAAGTTTTTCCAAAGCACAACGTTCTGACTTCAAATATATCCATCCCACCAATCCACCAAAGCTCCGGCTAATCTAATCGCCGGCCCGACATAACTCCGCGCTAAGCCTCGCTACTCCGTAGACCTCCTGAAGCATCTCACTAACATGACGAAAGCGTTCGCTGGTCATTTCCTCTGACCACTTCTTGTTCTCCCAATCCTCCTCTTGCTTGATACCCTCGACATCCTCTCGATCCCGAAAACTTGCCCGGCTTCCAGAGTGACTCTCCTAGCCTTTCAGATTGCTAGCTCCGCCCAAACAGCCAGTTCAGCCAGCCTTTATCTTGAATACGAGACACGCACCCTTAAGTTTTCACCAGGAACAACAACTCTACCGAAAGGAGGAACAGAGAAATACGACGAAATGGCTAAAGACTTGAGGGCACATCCTGAACAGGACCAGGAGCACGAGGTCCGTATTTTAACCCCTCTATCTACCCCGCCATCCGGTTCCTTGAACAACTATCCCCCGAAATAGGTGGATATGTTTTCTCTAGTAGGACGGCATGTTAACTATATAACAGGGAGCCTCTATAGGCGAAGTCCTTATCGAAGCTGCGCGCCGAAACAATACCGATCTCCTGAAAGAAACCATTGACAGCATTGGCGACGAGGATAAAGCCGCCAAAATCCTGAACGAGACGAAGACCGTGCTTGGGAACCACATCTACCACGAGGCTGCGTTGCGAGGGAATTGTATGTCCAGACACCACCGCAAATCAGAACTCGAGCCTAGTATAAAATTACCTCCAAATGTATACTGACTGTCACAGACGAAGTAATTGATATGCTCCTCGACCAGCCGGGCTTCGAATGCGACCCCCTCACCCGCATCGACGGTGACACCCCCCTCCACTCTGCTATCCGCTACCTTAACTCACTCACCGAATCCTCCCCACTGACTCCCGCCGTAACGACCTTCTCGCAAGAACTGATTGGCATGATGATCGAAGCGGGGTCGGACCCACGCCTCAAAAACAAAGCCAACCTCACGCCCTACCAACTAGTAGACCCGCGAAACGAGAAACTGAGACAGCAGCTGCAGGACGCGGTGGACGTGACGCAGAACCAGGGCGATTACATCGAGGATGAGAGGAATGACGCGAGGGATTTCGGCGTGGGCGGAGAGGGCGACGATGTAGGGAGTGCGAGCGATAGCGATTTCGACCCGGAGGAGTACAAGAGGGAGAAGGAGAGAAGGAAGGACAAGAGCGCAAACGAGGTCTGAGAGGGGATTTGTGGCTTTCTGATCCGAAAGCACGAATCTCGGCGTTGGAGCAAGACACAAGGCCATCGGACTGACTCACGCACTGTACGTATCCTATGGTATGATGGGCTCAGATGTCAGGCGCAGCCACCGCTTGGGTGTTTTGTTTGGATGGATGTCTTGCGGTCGCATTTGCATAGCGCGGGCGGTGACATCTTCATCTCTCCTCGGGTGTGCGGGGTAATGCCCAATGTTGGGGACCGGGAGCGGTAGAGTATCTGCGTGCGTTGATTTACTTGCTAGATAGCGTTGCATTCGCCAAGAAACATGATAATGTAAAGCAGAAAGCTTTACCCATCAACTCAGCCTCATCATCACAGCCAGAGAGCGTCAAGTTCCGCAACAACTCTTTTCGCTAAGCGAGATTAAATTTAAGCCCATGTCAATAGTAGCTGAACAGTGACGAATGAGGCGTACATGGCATTATCGTAATCTGGCTCTCATTCTCGTCGCCATTCTAGCTCACTGCAGTCTGTCTATCTGATTCATTGGAGCATGCATCTATCTATGCAATAAGAAGGGGTATCGAATCGTAACTCATAGGGTATCCGCGCCGAAAGGCAAAAGCAAATCTACCTCTTGTCCATCTCTGGTTCTCTCGCCTCCAAGCCCCTCTCATCCAATCCATTTCTCGCTTAATCCAATCTCTCAAGATCCGTATACAATGCAGCCAGCCCCTGTTCCCAAACTCGTAGCGTAACTTCGTTAAGCGAGTCACGGTCTACCACAACACGGCCCAAGCCACAACCACAACCAACGCCCCGAGACTCAAACTCCTGCCATCAATCCTCATCTCATCAGCACCACTCTTCTTCGCCGCCCCCTCAATGAAAGTAATGTTTCCAGTGTCTGCAGCAATCGCTTTCGACACGCCCGACTGGCTCAGAGCCTGCATCTGCGCCTTGAAGGTGGCAAGGATATTCGTGCTCCGTCCCGGCGGACAGAAAATGACTTCCCAGCCGCCACCAGACGGGATGATGAAGGTTGATGTCTGGTCGTCAAAGGCGAAGGAATAGGCGTCTGGACAGACGGCTTTGGCAGACCTGGCGTAGAGGTTGGGCTTGCAGACTTTAGGGTCGTTGAAGGGGCCTGTGCAACAATCTTCAGGCGACAGAGATTTGGAGCAGGCGGAGAGACAGGGGTCGAAGATTGGACGTTGGATTTTGTCGTCGGGGTAGGGGTAGACGCCGTCGCCTGGCTTGGTGGGTTGCGCCTTTTGAAGGTCCCAGGGGCACCAGTCGGCGACTTTCTCATTGGTGTACGAAGGTTCGTACGGAAGTGGGTTGGCGTCGGTTGTCGCGTTGCCTGAGGTGCCGGAAGCGGCTGGAGGTGCTAACCAGCCCGCTGTTGCGATACATGCGCAATTCGTAAGGTTTGGGGGAATATCCTTGAGTTTCGGATTATCGCCTGGAATGAAGATAATTGAAAGAGGTATGTTGTAGCCGTCAACTAAAGAGATGTCGTAGAAGACCTGGTTACCATCCACGCCACCTGCCAGATCGAACTCAGCCAGAGTGACGGGAGTTTCGCCCTAAGAATTATTAGCATTTTCCGCTTCCCCTGAGGAAAGGAAAAGGCACGAACAGTCAAGACACAACTCATTACCCCTCCACAGTCACCAGTTGTGCAAGCTGCTCCAGCACCGTTATTCCCATTCAAATTGCTCGCCCCCGTTCCAAGGTCGTTGAAACTGCAATTAGTTCGTCCCCAGACTCGTCCTTGCCAGTCTGCGCTGACTGTCAGGAATCTGGATGCCCCCGAATCAAGCTCAAACCCCCCAGTACCTGCGCCAGTTCCAGCTTGGGTTCCGATGCCAGGCCATATCTTCTGTTCGCATTTGTTGCTAATAACGAGGGGAACGCTATCTCTTTTAATAGGGGGACCGAATCTTGCAGGCCGAGGCTTGGGATTTGGATTTCTCGCAAAATAGGGATTCGTGGTATAACAGAAGGCAGACGGTATCACATTCAAAAGAAGGAAGGTAGAGCGCAACGTCGGAGACCTGCGCGCTCGGCGAGTCGAGTCTCGGAGGCGCATCTCTATCATCAGTTCGTATAGTCGTAGCAGGTGTATGTACAAGCCGTGGTTCGTAGGTTTGGTTTTCCAGAAAAAAAGTATGGGCAGTAGAAGCAGGTATACATAAGAAGGCGTCAAGCCGTCTCCACCAACGACCAGCCAAGATCTCCACTATTCAAGATCGGTGGAGCTGGGGGGAGGAAAGTGCAGGCGGGCCTTCTTGTCTTGTGCCCGTCTCCGTCCTCGTCCTCGACTTCGTCCTTGTTTAACAATCAGCAATTATGTCCTTGAGACGGCCAGCATCTCCAGTTAGTGACTGATGTCCGATCGATGTTAGCCGTATACAGTACCAGTAGTGTGGAATGGCCGTAGTGATCGAGCCCGAGAGGAAGAGAAGATAGGACGAAGGCAAGGCAAAATCCCTGTCTCGTCTCTCGTCTGTATCTGTCTCTGGGGCCCGCGCTGATTGCGCTGACCAGAGAAAGATAAAGGAAGGTTTATTTGTTTTATTTGTGAAGAGTCAAAACTGACGACAAGAGGGAGAAGATAGAAGGAGGAAGTCCGAATGGCACAGGAGATAAGAAAGTGTAGGTGCCGAGCCGGCGTCGTGAGCGAATGTGGTATAAGAGGCGATTGATTATCCGGATACTTTGACTTTGACTTTGAGAGAGGGAGAGGGAGAGGGAGAGAAGAGAGGGAGAGAGAGGGAGAGAGATGACGCAAGTGCAAGGGTCGTGACAGCGGCAGCCACGATCCCAGTAGTCCTGTGACCATTAATAAGGACTGCCAGGGTCCGTCCATCCCGCTCGATTTTGGTTCTGAAGCTATTCCGAACCGAAAATCATATGGAAAATTGCTTTAGAATTTCAAGGCGGCACATTGGCCGACATCGCTGCCACCCTCATTATCCCTCTAAAATAGAGAACCCACAGAGATCGACACATGTGGGTAACCGCGCCTGGCCCATAGCCCTTTACCCCATCTCCCTTCCATCTGACCCATGCTTTCCCTTCTTGCTCCCTCTGCACTAACTGCATCCTATGCCAACAACACATCTCAAACATGCCTCGCCAATCCCCCCGACCATCAATATCGCATTGGGGCTGCAGGGGCAAACTAAAAGAAATTCGTCTATATCCATGGTATCTTTTTTCTTCTTGAAAAACGCCATCACTTGAATCGAGATGTGCATCGTCCCATGACCTCGCCCTGGCAGACCAGCTCGGCGTTGAACTCGGATCCGTCGAGCGTCAGGTAGATGTCGAAGTATACACGGTAGAACGTTCCTTGCGGTGTATCCATCCTCTCGAAGTCCTTCTCGAGGTTCTTGCGTGAGAGGTCTGACGTAAGCGTGACGACTTCCTTGACTCCTGCAATATACTGTTAGTATATACATCTCTATATACCTATAGGTAGACACTTAGGTAAAGCAGAATATCGTTATCACTTACGGGGATCCTTGGTGTACTCCGGGCAAACATCGTCGTCACAAGCATACAAGATATCCTCGTACATGAGAGTGGCGCCCGGGGCAACTTGTCTGAAGAAAGAGACCTTGACAGGCTCTCCAATCTTCACTCTCTGTCCCTTCTGCACGAAAATCTGTCGAGTAAACTTGCATCGGTCCTTGCCATCCAAGGATGGAACGCGGTAAGCTTCGGGGTGGTGTCCCTCTTTGAAAGGTTGGAGAGTTGCCATGAGGTAATGCCGACGAGCGACACGGGACGTGACGACTCGCTCGGTGATACCAGCGGTCACAGCACCCTTGACAATGGCAGCGACGGAGTCCATGGGTCTCACCACCTTGGCCTGGAATTGAGGTGGAACGTGAAGCTTGATCTGTTGGAAGAGGTATTCGGAAGCACCAAAACCACCGACCACCAGAACGTTTTGGAGAGTTCTGTTTTGCGCTTGAATGGCGATGATCTGGTTTCGGACCAGCTCCAATATTCGGTTCACCACCGGCTCGAAACATTGCAGGATCTCCTCGTTGGTGAAAGTCATGTATCCTTCTTCAATACCGGCTTCGGGGAACTCTGCCTCGATACCTACATCAACGGCCCACTTCTGATTGTTGTTTCGGAAATCAGCCTTGATTCTGTTCTCAAAATCCATGATACACTTCGCGTAGACTCGGCCAGCCGTCTTTGATCCGTCTGGCAGCTTCATCTTTCGGATTTTCGTTCGCAGAATGTTACTGAAATTTCGGTTGAGCGCTGTCGACCCGCAAGAATCGCCAGAGCCGGCGGTACACTCGGAGACCGTGAAGGGAGACTCCTCTTCGACCTCGTAAGCGATCAAATCCACAGTTCCACCACCGCAATCAACAATAAGCACAGCGTCGTGGACCTTGAGGTTCAAGAGTCCAGCTTTCGAGCAGAACAGCGCGGCAGCTTCTGGTTCAGTGATGAGGGTCAGTCGGTTGTCATTCTCATCGCGGAGAAAACCCGCTTGGATAGCAGCAGCTCGCGTCGCCGCCTTGCCCGCGTCATTCCAGATCGCAGGTACTGTAAGGTAATATCTGATGTTCCGCTCTTCTCTGTTGAATACCTCTCCGAGGGTTTTTTGCAGCTGAATCCGCATCGCTTGTCGGAGCTTGAAGAGGTAATCGGCCGCCACGTCGATTTCGGACTTTCCGGGTGGAAGGGGCGGAAGGTTGATCGGATCGATGTAGGTGTTTCCGGAAAGCATGAGTTGGAGTTTGAACCATTCCACCTTCTGCACTCCTGGCTTGGGATAGCCGGTCGGAGCCAGCGCATCTGCGATATCAGGTCCCCATCCGACAACCTTCTGGTATTGATCGTAGTACAGAACCGTCGGAATCTAGATCATCAGCGTGATATCCATTTGGAAAGAGGGGAGAGTGGGGGGGGGGGGGGGGGGGATCTCGCGTACCTTCTGCTTCGTGTACGATCCAGCACCGGGCCATTCTGTAATGATATCTTCCTTGGCTTCGGTATTTGTTGCAAAGGCGAATGCGACACCGGAAAATGTAGTTCCCTGCGTTAGTTAGATGGAGCCATTTCATCCGTCTGATAGTGAAGTACATACAAAGTCGATGCCCACAATCAGTTGCGCCTTGCTTCTGCCGGCTCCCTCCACCTCCACTGCATTGTTTCTGTTGGCATACTGGGCCGCGGCCATGCTATTCGCGCCGGGAGGAAACTGAGCGCCATACTGCGGTGGACCGTATCCCGGCGGTCCGGCAGCCTGCTGAGGTGCTCCCATGCCTGCAGGATGTCCCGGAGGAGGGTAGTTACCTGTCGACGCTGTGTTGATAGGAGGCGGACCGCCCATGACCTGCGACGGAGGAGTTCTTGGGTGTTGCGCCATAGGGCTCGTGGTGCGGGCCCCGTTGATGCCAGTCGGCGCTGGCGGATAGGTATTATTGGTATAGCTGGGCGGTCGCCCACCTGCTCCTGAGTGATTCATGGGAAGGCTGGACGAGGACGAGGTTGCTGACGCGGAGATGGGTCGTATCTGTGGCGCTGAGGAGGAGTTGGGTCCCCCACCAGGGTTCTGTGCGATGGTCGGGGCGTTGGAGCCCGATTTGCGTTTGGAGCCGAATCCAAGGCCTTTGAAGCGCGAGTTCATGGAACTCATAAGGTCGAGGGGTTGCTCACGATGTTTCTCAGGTATGGAGAGAAGGGACAAAGGGGAGTGAGGGAGTGAGGGAGTGAGGGAGAGAGGGAGTGAGAGAGTGAGAGAGTGAGAGAGTGTGAGAGTGAGAGCGTGAGTTAGTGGGTGAGCAAAAGTGCGTCGGGAGCGGGAGAGTGGGGGAAGGGGGGGCGGGTGGTTAGGTTAGGTTGGGGGGTTTGGGGG